TGAGCCAGGCGGAGGAGCAGAAAGAGCAGGCAGAGATGCAGGTGAGAGACCTTCACCCAACAAGCTCAAAATGGGAGTTCAAAGAATAACCATATACAGTGGTATCTCGGGTCACGAACTTAATTTGTTCCACGACTCTGGTTGCGACCCGAATTGGTCGCAACCCGAATCAAATTTTCCCATAAGGTTCAATGTAAATACGGTTAATCCGTTCTGAACCATATGTATTTTTTTTTTAAAACCACAAAAATATGAAACAGTACAGTACAGTACGAAGAGAGAACACTAACCTTGCTTGAGGCAACTTCTGGCGTGAAGGACAGGAAGGCGGGTGGGGAGGCGGTTATTTGGAGGGAGAGTCCCCCTCCCTACAGGAAGGCACAACCACGTGTCACAGCAGGGAAAATGGCCGTGGATTCATCACCCGATGCGGAGTTCGCGAATGGAAGCAAAATTTTGCGAATGGTGCTGTTCGTGAACCGAATTGTTCGTGAACAGAAGTGTTCGTGACCCGAGGTACCACTGTATTGGGTTTCTTATATGACTCCTTAACAGGGTTGTGAAGATACTAAGAAAAGGAGAAGTTTAACTCTTAAGGCAAATACTTACATTGAACAGCGAATGAGAATCTGCTTCTTTTTTGTAATTTTTCTTACGTCCGCTTCTTTGTTTCTCCAGTTGCATCTGGTCCAGAGACCTGACTTGAAGTCAGTCTCTGACTATCCCAAGGAAAGGTGGAATCTTCCAGATCCTTCCCAGGAGCTGGTCTTCAGGGGGGTCTTCCATGAAGATCAAAGTCAGGACACCTCCTCTGGTAAGAGAAGGTTCCTCAGGAAGAAGGCAGTTCTTTCTCGTTCTCTGGGCCCTCTTTTGCATAATACTTATCTGTATCTTAGTAATTATGTTTCTAAAAATTCTGCTTACATCACTTTTATCTCACAGGGAATGAAGATTCAGCATTCATAGGTTCTTCTCCTTTTTCTGGTGGAGTTGAAAGAGCAGTTGAACTTCCAACTCAGGTAGGAGAAGAAGTATCAGGTAAGAGAGAGAGCTCAGTTGCAGGTCTCTTGTTATGGGTTGTACATATATTATTGCAGTTACTGAGCAACATGAACTAGGGGTTCAGTTTGCTGATCAGTAATGTTTTGCTTAGCTCCCCTCTCAAAACTGTTGTGGGTGTAACAAGAAGCCAAAATTGGGATGTCATCCAAATGTGGATGGTACCTCATGAAGCAAATCCTTTAGTGAGCTCTGCCAGCACTCTTGTGAAGGTGTTGAGTGGGGGCAGGATTGATCCCTTGGGAGACCCTGCAGTCTATCGGCTAAAATGTTACAGAAGATCCCACCACTATGTCTTCCTGCAACTGTCAGGATGAGAACAAGTGATAGGCCTATCTGTAAATTCATTCAGAAAGATATTTTGGTTGCATTCACAGAAGGGCCGTGAAAGTCTTGCATACTCAATATAGTTGATTCACCAACCATTTTCAACCAACTCTGGACAGTATACAATAAATCCAACAGGATAAAAACGGAATACAGTAAAGAATAACAACAACCAATGGTGTTATCCAGGTAACCACCATCCATCCAAACCCTAATCTGGCAGGGAACCCAGCTACCCTAACTGAAGATTTGGGAAATCAGCCAGATCTTTAAGGCTCTCTGGAATGCCAGCTGGGTGGGACCTGTGTGCATATCAAAGGGAATCTCAGTTTTGAAGGGCAGCCCCGTGTACAGCGCATGAATGACTGAAGGACCTCCCGATCTAGGAAAGGATGCAGATGGCACACCAGTTGAAGTTGTGCAAAGGCCTTCCTGGTCATCAAACAGGAGCTGTAAGTCTAGGAATACCCCAGCATGTGCACCATCCTTGAATGGGGAAGTGCTATCCCATCCAAGGTCAGAGATGAAATATCTCCAGATCTGGGCAGCCACAGCCTGAAACAGGTCTACATAATCTGCTTCGTCACATAATCTGGTTCGTCCACAAATGTTACATCAGTCAAAGGCTGTGAACTCTCAGTTTTTTCAGATCAGGTTTTTAACCCTGCAGAAGATGCCCGTTTAACCCACTACAAATTTCTGCTTTGGGGATTCTTGAATCAAAAGGAGAGAATTTGCAAATAAAACTTGTCTGCTCATAAGTCTATTTCTTTTTGCAGGTTCTTGTGTCTTTTGAGGAGGTGGCTGTGTATTTCTCCGAGGAGGAGT